GTGTCTGAAGTAAAGAGTCAAATGCAGAAACATATAGAGGAAATCAGATCAGAAATAATCTCTTTTTTTAATTTTTATTTATTTGAGAGAGAGAGAGAGAGAGAGAGAGAGAGAGAGAGAGTTGTATGTGGCCAGCTCAGCCCACCAGGGGGCGGGGCTGGCTGGCATGTGGTGCTGGGGGATTGAACCGCGGTCCCTGATGCCTTGCCAAGCTTGTTCTAAGTAGGTGCTTTAGACCACTGAGCCATCTCTCCAGCCCCAGAAATAATCTCTTAGTAAAGAATTAATAATCGCTTCTCAAGAAGACCCTGATTAAAAAAATAGAGATTAGAAAAATGACAAATTCTTTGAATAACCACTACAGGAAAGAAAGAGTTTGCATAAAGCAGTATCAAAAAGTTATAAAGGAATTCAAACTCTCAATCACAAGCTTGCAAATCCATTTTAGTAAAAGTGAAGATAGAGTTTCAGATCTTGAAGACGCTGATGCAGCTAGTGAAAGGTGACAACAAATCTCTTAAGAACAGTTAGGATGCAGGAAAAAAAATAATTCATCACCTGCAAGATGGTGCAAAGATGAACAACATGAGACAAATAGGCATCAATGAGAAAGAAAAAGTCAATACAAATGAAATAAAAAGTATATGGGCAGAAGCAATATCAGAAAGCTTCCCAAATATGGGAAAAAATCTGACATTTAGATAATTGAAGCATACAGAACTCCAAACAACTTCAACCTAATTAAAAACACACTGAGACATACAATAGTCAAAATCTCAGAAATCCAGCACAGGAACAACATACTGAAAGCTGCTACAGAAAAGAAAGATCATATTCAAAGGAAAACCAATCAGAATAAAGGCAGACTTTGCTTTACAAACCATGAAGTCAAGAAGAACATGGAGCAGAGTACTTCAAGCCATCTATGAAAACAAATTCTAGCCCAGACTACTATACCCTGCAAAACTCTCTTTCAAATTTGATGGAGAAGTGAAATACTTCCATGACAAAGAACACCTAAAGAATTTCATGATGTGAAAGCCAACACTACACAGACTACTATGTTCTAGAGAGGGACTAAAATGATAGGTTAGATTTCTAAATTTCTATGTAAAAATGTGTAATTATTTATTCATATTCTTTAAATATTTTTCATTTTTTTAATTTTTATCTCTATTTTCTGTAGGGACTTGAAGTTTAACATATTAATACTTGATGGAAAATACCTGTTCCATGTTATGCCTAAGTTGTTTGATATTCAGACAGGTAGTGAAGTTAAGCACAATTGCCTATTTTGTAGCTTAATAATGATGAGCTTCTGTTGTGGAGGGTTAACCTAAGTTTGTAGACCAAAAATTAGAGAAAAAGAAATGGCTGCAAGGATAGCTGACATTTTGGCCCTAGCCTTTCAAGGTCAGTGAAAACTCAGGACATAGACAAATCTGTACTGTAACATTATATAACTCAGTTGTGTCCCAAATTTTCTGATCAAGGAGATTATGGGGCCACAGAGGAAGTGATCATTGATGAGGAGTGTGCCTAAGGAGAGTTGCTTGGAGAGAAAATGCTTTCTCAGGCTTTCATAGAGAACAAACTGGTCAAGCAATGGTCGGTTCTCATCCACATGGATGACACTGACAGAGGATCTACAAACTGCGGTACGGGGTTTCAGGATAAATCATGAGGGGTTTTAATTGACTTTATTAAATGCAAAAGCTACATTTCTTGTTGTATAGGTCTTGCTTTATCTTGGTCTTAACTATCCAGCAGAAAAGTATAAAAATGAAGTATAAAAAGTAAAGCCATATTAATACGCTGAGTTGTAAAAGGCTCAAGTCAACAACTTCTGACATTGCCAGTCTTATGGAAAACCGACTACTATTATGGACTACTGGAGTATGTTGGAATATGTTCCTGAATCCATGCACATACAATATTTAAATAACATTGGAATATCCTTCTCTGACAAAACTAAACAAAAGAGGGGGATACAAATGAACAAGCATTTGGTATCTGTATATTCAAAATAGGATAGATATATAGCTTCATTCTCTTAATTCAATGAATAGAGACATTTGTTTTTATAGTGTCTCTGGACAGGATATCATGTTTGCATCTTGTAAAATGAATGACCACTAAGACAACAATAAGCAATGTGTTAATTAGTGAAACTATGTTAGTAATCGGCTTTGAAACTGTCTCATTGCTATTTGTTTCTCAGTAAAACTATTTTTTAAAAAGAGATTATTTCTTATCTGATTCCTTCTATACCTTTCTGCAGTTGTTTCTGTACTTCAGATGCTATTCTTTTCAGAGATTTCAGGACTGTGTCTTCCAATTTCTTCAATTCTAGTGTATCCTTCTTTTGTTCTGAGTGGGCTGGGGGCCTGAAAATGCATTTTGTTCCTTCTCTTTGTCATTTTGTTTAGCACTGTCCTCTGACCATTGGTGTAGAGTTTTAGTGAAGTAGTTCCTAAAGCACCTACAGATATTCTTACCCAAGGGAGATTATGTGGTTCAGGCAGTGGCTGTTTTGTAGTTACAATACTACAATTAGCAACAGTAACAATGGGTAGTGAGATTTAGCAATTAAACTTTTGTAATTAATGGGTTTGTATTTTAGATCATAAAGGAAGCATGACTGTACAGCTGTACATGACTATACAGCTAAGAGATATAAAATTGGGAAATTGTTTTTGAATTAGTTCCCCTGAGATTTGTCTGATCACCTCCCTTTGATGTACCTGGCATCTTTCAGTCAGACTTCCATCCCAGTTACCTGTTGCCCCCTCTTTCAATCGAGAGAGAGAGAGAGAGAGAGAGAGAGAGAGAGAGAATGCTATTATAGATTGGGGTCTAGCAGTGTGTCTCAGCTTACTTGGTCTGGATCTCCCAAGTTCAAACTCAGCCAGATGGGCCTGGCTTGGGTTTGACTGCTGTGCTTGGCTTCTTCCCACTACAGCTCCTGGAAGTGAACCTGCTGTGCCCCAGTGGCAAGCTGTTCTGCTCCTTGATGAGCTGTCTGGATCACGGCCTTAGCCTCTCTGCCAGAATTTCGCTATAGGGTTGCACCCTAGGCCTGAGTGCTGCTTATAGAGTGGCATCCCCAGGAAGGGAAACCCAAGCCCTGGGCCTGGACGCTGGCTGGAGGCAGGAGGCAGGAGGTTACAGCTGGGGAGCCTGGCCTGGACATTACTTGGACGTGGGTGGAGGGAGGTTCCAGCTGCGGCTCTGGGCCTGGCTGCCAGGTGGAGGTGGGTGGCAGGAGGTTGCCGCTTGGGTGCAAATCCTGGCTGCTTGTTGTTGGCAGGAGGCCAGAGTTTGCGGCTAGGACAATGGGCCTGGACACCAGCTGGAGGCAGGTGGCGCGAGGTTCCTGCTGGGGCACAGGCCCTACCCACCAGCGGGAGGCGGGCGGTGGAAGTTTTTAGCTGAGGTGCCTGGCCTGGCTGCTGGCTGGATATGGGTGGTCTGAAGTTCTTGACGGGGCACCACACCTGGACGCTGGCTGGAGGTGGGAGTCGGGAGGTTCTGGATGAGAAGGCAAGCCTGGATATTCCCTGGACGTTGATGGCCTGAGGTTCCCGCTGGGGGGCCTGGCCTGGACGCTGGCTGGAGGCTGGAGGTGGGAGGTTCCGTCTGGGATGCAGGGCCTGGATGCTGGCTGGAAGTGGGAGGCAGGAAGTTCTGGCTGGGGTGCCAGGCCTGGACACTGGCTGCAAGTGGGAGGAACAATAATATATTATAATCTATCTATCTATCTATATATATAATATTAATATATATATATATCTTAGAAAGTGAATTAGAGTATAACTTTATGAAGTTGAATAAAGACATATATATGTGTATATATATATATATATATATATATATATATATGGGTTACATATATTTTTATATCTATCTTATATACTCAAAGGACTCTGATTAGTCACATTATCTTCTGGAAACACAAAACTTGATATCACATTTGTTGATTTTGATACATATTTTAAAGCTATATTAATCTGAACAATATGATTTATAAGGGCCAGTGGTAGAGAAAGCACAGAAACAAAATGCCACATACAAAGTTGATGGTCATCTGAACAAATTACAAGAATATATAATGAATAAAGAACAATTTGTTCACTAAAGGTTATTAGTAGCATGGATTTTTCACTCAACAGAATGAAAGTAGACACATAGTATACCATACACAAAATGAATTCAAAGGGGATGTAAGATTTAAACCTTAGATCTAATCCTGTAAAATTGCTAGAATGAAGGACAGAATAGCTTTGTGACAGCTGTTTTGATTGGATATAGCTTAAGTGGCTGGCACTGCTTCTTATGTTGAAATTTTATCCCTCTGCAAGGTATTGAGAGAAGAGAAACAGCATCTGACCATAGTGTTTAGAGACAGGAGCTTTTTATGATCTTTAATGAAAATGATAAGTGTGGGGCCTCAGTGATTATACCTCTTGGCTCACAAAAGGGAGAGAAAAAGACAGCCCAATGAACAGGCACACTCCCCGTCTCTGTCATCTGGGGCAGAGTGCCATTTTGGGAATCTTCCAACAATAAGATCACCACCAGATGAGAATGCTGGCACCTTCTGAGTCATAAGCTAGGGAAAACCTTCTTAATAATAAAATGCACTAAAAATGTTATTATTGTATTCTGTGCTTTCTCAGATATGATGACATTAAATGATAAAAAAATGACTGCGTACAATCTAACAAAGTCAGCACAGCAAAGTAGGCAGTCAATACAGTGAGTAGGCAGCCAACTGAACAAGGGCAATATTCACTCACAATCTAAACAATATTCAAACATATGAGAGTCCTGCAACACAATACAGAAAAGCACTAACAATCTGATTAAAAACAGCCTTGAATACATATTTTTCTCAAAGACAGAAGTGTCAAAAAGACACATCTTTATTCATTATCATCAAGGAAATGCAAATTATAACAATGGCTATTGATAGTATTTTTATCTACCTTATGGCCTAAAATATTAACTTTATGTATCATAATCAAGGAAATTCAAATTATAAAAATGCCATAGCATCTCATTCAACTGGATTATGATTTAAAAAACAAAGTAAAAATACAAGGATATAGTAGAAACTGAAACCTTTGTGCACTGCTGTTCAGAATGTCAAACTGTATAGCTTCTCTGGAAAAACATGAAGGTCCTTTTGAAAAACTTTAAAGAGAAGGACTGCATGATTCACCTATCCAACTTCTTTACATTTACACAAAAGAATCAAAAATTAGGATTTTGAAAGACTACCCACAATAATTTCTACTCAAATTCCTGCCCATCTTAAGAGAAAAAGCCCTTAAAGTCTCCTGCTTGGATGTGCATACATCTCTTCTACTCCTACTTTGGTGGACCAACAAGACTTTCAGGCTCAGCCAGAGGACAGGGACAAGCAAATGTCCAGGAGAAGGAGGTGCACATTTGGAAAGACAACATCACACTTACAGTCACTCTTTTAAGATAATGGAAGGAGCACATAAGATGATGAGTGAGGTGTAATCAAGAATAATGCAGGTCTTGAACTATGAAAACAAGCTAATGCACATATAAAAATAGCACATTGAAGCCTCATATTTTTCAAAATACTAAAGAGGTAAAATCAATCTTGGTGTAAAACTTATTTCATTTAAGGAAGATGAAGCTGACTTCAAGCATTGTATTCCACATTTTTGCAGGCTTTGTGGTTATAAGACTTAAGTAGCATTAACTGAAGGGATGCTTGTTCCAAATCTAAAGATGTTTTATTTGTGCACTGAATAGGTAAGGGTGACTGGCAAGCTGGTTTCATTTGGCCTTTAGAGTATGACACATCCACTATGGACTTTTTTTTTTTTTTTTCATTTTGTCTTTGATGTCATTTATCTCCTTATGAAGTTTTTTGCTCTCATTTTGGAGTCCTTCCTTTAACAGCTTGTCTTGTGCCTAAAAAGTCAAGTGGAATATGAGTAGCTTCTGACAAAAGCTGGTCAAAAGAGGAAAAGGTCACTGGAAAATGTACATGGAACAATTCTCCAGGTAGATTTAGCAATTATAAATATGCACACACTGAATATTGGTGCATCTAATTCAGTAAAGCAACAAGTCCTTGACCAGAAGGGGCAGAAAGATGTTAATATAAATACTGTGGAGGATTTCACTATCCCAAGTGCACAAACAGAGAAGTAAATCACACCAAAAATTAATACAGATCTATCAACCTATCTACCACATAGAAAAAAAAGTATTTAATTATTGCTATAGTGTATCTCATCCAATGATAGCAGAGTACGCATTCTTCTCTACACTTCACTGAACTTGTCCAATATAAACCATAGTTTAGACCTGAAAGCATGTTCCAACACCAAAGAATTGTAATAAATGTCTATATGTTATCAGGTGATGATGGAAAAAACTAGAAAACAGTAAAGAAACAATAGAAACTACCAAAACACATGAAGATGGAATATACACTTGAATAATCACTAGGCCATGGAAAAAGTCAGGGAAAAAATTTGATAGTCCCATTAAGAGGATAATGTGAATCTAACACAGCAAAACCTATGAGATATAATGAAAGCAGATGTAAAAATGTTCATAGATATAAGTGCCTACATTAGGAAAAGTAGAGAGACCTCCAATAAACAACCTAAGTACTGGAGTTTCACACTAAAGTAATTATAACCAGATAGGAAGTCAGGGATTCTTTGGTTGCTCAAATTTTCTGCTTATGATTGATGAAGCCCTGATTCACAGGAGACATGTGGGTAAGAAGATAGGAAGTCTAGAAAAGGAATTCCAGGGTAAGCAGCATCAGAGAGTAACATGAAGAAGAGAAAACAAGAACGACTATTTTCAGGAATTGATTAAAATCTAAACAGGAAGTGTAAGTAGAGAGTAAAAATTTCCTTTGTATTGATGGCTATGCTATGCAGGGTATGAGAAGAAATGAGGTCACCAAACAATGGTGTGATATTTAGGCTGATCCATGGGGCAAAATATTCACATGGGATGGACAGAATATAAGACCAACATGTACGGGGTGTTCACTGTAAGGTAGTCACCAACAGATAGATAACACTCTTATCTTCATTCACTTCCCAGCAAGCAGAGAGTGGCTCTACAAGTACAAATTAGGTAAAAAAGGGTTTTGAGAGTCATATGTTAAGGTGGTGGGGAGCATGTAAAAGGCCAAGGATTGATAATGCGCTTTGGAAAGGCGTAACAACATTACAAAGGGGTCCTGGGAGATTTCCCTAAGCAATTGTCATTGGAGCAAGGGATTCAGATTGAGGGTGTAGATCCTCTAGCTGTAGGGGAAATAATTTTAACCAGTATACCCCTATTCTAGTAGATAGGTCCCTGTTTCCTAGCAGTATTTTACGTTGCATTTTACTAATGGCCAGTGATGTACTTATCTGACACCAAGTGTTTCCTTTAGTAAATGACTTCTTAATCCTTTAATCCATTTCTCAACTGGGATTTTATTTGTTTGTTTTCTTACTGTGAATCTGCAGAGTCTTTACATTTCCTGTATATATGTGACTTGAAAATATTTTCTTTCTGCTTGTGGTACATCTTATATATAACTTTATTGGTGTTTTTTGCAGAGCACATTTCCTCTCTTTTGATGATATTTAATTTATTAAATTTTTCTAATTCAAAGTATTTTTAAAAGCATTTCCTGAACTTTGTTGAGAGATTGATTTAAAGTATAGTTTTGTGACCCTACTGTGCTATAAACTGCAATAACACCTCAAAGTGGGCTTCAGTTAAGTGTCTTTGAAAATGTGCTTGGGAGAGGTTTTTGCAGCCTGTCTGGCAGGTGCCACTGCCTCTTTCTGTTTCATACTAAGCAGTGCAGACCTTAAAGCCTGATAAGTCAACCTGGTTGCCCAAATCCCTCAAGGCAGAGGGAAAGCACAATAGCTGGAAAAGCAGCCCCCACCCCCTTCGGTCATTCTCAGATGGAGATCAAGACTGTGCATGGTATTCCACTCCTGTAATCCCAGAATTTGGGAGGCTGAAAACAGGGAATCACTATGAGTCCAAACTACATAGTGAAACTCTGTAGACTCTGTAACAAATACATTAAAAAAGTAGAGGGAAACCAGACAACAGGGATATTGAAAGGGGATCTTGAGATGTTCTTTCAAAATTAGAATGTTATCATTAAGTTATTTCTTCAGCTCCCTCTTTTCCAATTCTGGCACCAAGAAGGCTTTTGTAGAACTTGATTTCCACCATTATTCTGAGCCCTTGGCACCCCATTAAATAGTTGAATCTAACTTCACTTTGGCTTTTGTTCCGTCCCTGTTATAAATTAAAGCACTTCTGTATATTGGAGGAATTCTGGCCAACTGTCCTACCTCATCCAACTTGTCAATAAACTCATATTCCCAATTTCATTGGTGTTCCTATACTTTCCATGGCAAATGGCAAAATGAATCCAGATAGTTGGGGTCAGACTCAAAGTTCTGGCAAGGTCTCGAGTAATGTGTATATATAACACAGAAATAAAATAGTCTCAAATTAAACAAAGTGTCTTATCTCACTTTAGGACATTTGAGCTGAGCCCCCAGAGCCTTGCACAGAAGTGATGTGACAGACAAGCCAATCAGAGTCCCAGAGGATTTCTGTACAGTATTCCCAAGGGAACAGAAAATGGTACCAAGGAAAGAAAACAGGCAGGAGTGGTGTGAAGTTTGAAGAGATTTTGCTCAGGATGATTCCTGTAGCGTTAACATCATAACAGACTGGACAGAAGAAAAGATGATGTTGTAAAGATAGACACTTCATCACCTGGGTGATGTAAAGAAAGCTTTTCTGAACCATGTTTCTTGTAAGAAGGAAGAAGTCCTTTTCCATATTCCTATGCAAGAGATACAGCAGATAAAACATTTTCAGGATGCCATGAAGGAAGGACATGCTCACTGATGGGGCAGTGCTGCAAGGGAAGACAATGATTGAACAGGGACAGGAGAGAGGTCGAGCAGGTGCACAGGAGTCAGTATGCAGAAAGTGCTTTGCAGGGATTCATGGTCTCCTTGCCCATGTTTGTGATCAGGGAGAATGGAGAGAAAAAGGCAAAACAGAAAGTTCCAGGTGGTGCAGCTGACTACCTGGAGTTTGAGAGCCAGAGTCACCTGGTGCTCTTTGAGCATCTGCACCCTGTCCTGCTGCATCTTCATGTTCAACTGTCTGACATGCTCCTGATGATGCTTCTCTTTCTGCTCCAACGTCTTCTGAGTCTTCCTTTGCATTTCCTCCAGCATTTTTGAGGCAGCCTCTGCAGATTTGGCTTTCACACGTTGCACTGAAAGGAATGAGAGATCTGTTTGTTACTATATGGCCTTGCCTCCTCCTCCTTCACATGTTTATGTATTGTGGCTGCTGATCACATTGGAAAATAAAATACACCTTTGCTCTTCTTGATCAAATTTAAAAATATCAGATTTACTTAAATTATTTAAACTTCAGCACTTGTAAGATCAAGTAGCCTGTTGACTGACTCCTCACCTTCAATCTCCTTTTCTTTCTTTGAGAGAATCTGATTTGTCCGAAGAATGGCATTAGTCATGTCTTTCTTTGACTCCATGTATTTTTGTAGAACCTCATTAGCCTTCCAAACCAGAGAACACAGGGTTATCGGTAGGAAGTGACTGTAAGCATTCATTTCTGTGTTTCATCTACCATGTTTCCCTCTAGGAATGGCTACTGCTAGTTCTAGGATTTCTGGTGTCCAAGAATCTCTGTTCACAAGAATGGGATTGTGGGGCTGGCCAAATAGCTCATTGGATTAAAGCTCGTGTAAGCAGGTTCAGGGGCTGGGGTTTCAATCCCTAGGCCTGCCATGCAGGCCCTGACTCAGGGGCATGCTGAAATGTCGATTGAGACTGGGCATGGTGGCCAGTGCCTGTAATCCTAGACCTTGGGAAGCTGTAAAAAAGAGAATCAGTAGGAGTCTGATCTAGTAGTGAGACCTTGAACACCCTGTAGACTCTTCCGTGAAAAGTACAAAAAAGGAGAAGAAGAAGAAGAAGAAGAAGAAG